AGTGCTGGATGACAGCCATGTGCCACAACCCCTGGCTTTCTGTGCTTTTCATATTAACTTTCTGCTCCAGTTGTCTTTACAATTGTTAATGTTCAACATTAAATGTAGAGGTTACAGACTAAGAAAATATTCAGGCCTCACGTGTTCATGGATCGACAGAATTAGTGTTTTCTATAGACCTAATTTTTTTTTTAAAATGAAAGGGTAAGTATTTTATAAAGTTACTCCTATGAGAACTTACTTATAAAGGAAATTTTCTTGGGCATTCCTCCATTCACATTACATTTTATTGTAATTGTTCACTGGACTGCTTGAGTCATACCTTGGATGGTAGTTCTTCTGGGTACAGATCTTGTCTTCATCTCTGCATCTTTATTCAGCACAGCACCTGCTTTATGCAATAGGCAAGCCAGTGCGAGTTTGCTGAAAGCATGTATGAATGAGTGAGAAGTCAATAAACTTATGTCAAAGAATTGGAATAACTATCATTTTTATCCTTTCCTGAAGCTATATCTATGATTAATGATTTTTCCCACCTCCCAATGATAGGCAAAGGAAAATCCTCTAAAAACAAGCCTTGAACTCATCACTAGATACTTTTTGGATTACTCTGGAGACGTGGATAAAAATTTAAAACAAGAAACTCCAATCCCTGCACTCTCAGTTCCAAAGAAAAATAATAAATTGCCGATGAGATGCTCAGAGACCACGCTGGTGAATATATATGACCTTTCAGATGAAGACGCAGGATGGAGAACGTCTTTGGCAGAAACAAGCAAGGCCAGGTATCTCTTCCCAATTACTCAGTAGAGTAGCTTCCTATTGCTGTTCTGAGTGGTTGTGACAGCAAGTTTTCTCCTGAGAACCAGTAGCATCTATGGATGCTCTTTGACTTGTGATGGGGTTTTGTCCTGGTAAACCCATTGTAAGTTGAAAAATTCTATTGAAAAAGCTTTCAGTTCACTTAACCTACAGAACTTCAAAGCTTAGCAGCAGTAGAGGATCCATTGTTTCCCCATGTGACCCTGTGGCCAAGAAGCCAAAGCTTCCTACCACTGACTACCATCCAGGGAGTAAGTACTGTATCATATATCACTAGAAAAGATCAGCATTCAAAATTTGAAGTATGGTTTCTGCTGAATGCATGTTGCTTTCACACCACTGTCAAATTGAAAAATTGTAAGTTGAACTATTGTAGGCTGGGACTGCCTGTGTATTCAGATGTGTACGCGTTCACACACACACGTAAAAATATATAAAGAAGTTTATTTTAAGAAGTTGGCTCATGCAGTTGTGGGAGCTGGCATGTCTATAATCTATCGGGCAGGGCCTGGTGCTGGAAATTCAGACAGGATTCCTGTGTTATAGCTTGAGGAAAAATTCCTTCTTCTCTGAGAAACCTCAGGCCTACAATTAATAGAATGAGGTCCACCCACATCATTGAGAATACTGTAATTGCTTTACTTAAAGTCAACTGGCTGTAAATGTTGGTTACATTGCAAATTGGTTCTCTATTGTTCTGGAGGTCAGAGTCCAGTCAGTCTCACTGGTAGAGGCAAGGTGTCTGAGGGCCAGTTTGTCTGGAGGCTTTGAGGGCAAAGCCTGTTGCTCTTCTTTCCTGGCCTGCTAGAGACCTGCCTCTTTTGGCTTCCAGTCCCTTTCTCCACATTTTAAAGCTCACCACTCAACTTGTGCTGTTACATCACTAACTACCGCTAAAGAGATGTACTTACTGTACTGCTTCTATCCCCCTCTCTCCTTCCACGAAGGATCCTAGTGATTGCACTGTGTCCACCAGACAATCAACAATGATCTCCCTCTCTTAAGATGCTTAATTTAACCACATCTACAAATTCGCTCTTACCATGTAAGTTAATATATCCACAGATTACACAGATCAGGACTTGGACACCTTGTGTGTATGTGGGGGGGTCGTTATTCAGCTTCCTGTACTCTGTGCTTCAAAATCTCTGCTGGAGCAGATGGTGCCTAGTGGAGCCCTTTTATATTCTTCCAGAGAATGAACCATTTTGTGATAGAGGATACCGATTATTAAAGTTGTACATTTTATATTTTGAGACACTTAAGGTTCAGGGCCCTGTTTTATTTGACTTCTTCAAAAAACAGGAGTATAATATTCTAAAATCAATGAGACACTCTAGAGCTGGAGGAAATCTGAAAGATAAGTTCTGTGGAGCTCTCGGAAGAGAATGATTTGGCATTCTTAACTGAACCTCTATTATCTGGAGAGCATTAACTTATAACCATCACACTCGGGCAGTTCCTGCACAGTCACCGGTAGTGAGTTTAACTTCTGGGGAAAGGGTTTTTCCCGTTCACTGGCAGAAAAGCATTTCATTTCCTGAGGGCAAGTGAAGCTCAAAGCCTAGGTGTCCAACTGCCAAAGGGTGGAACCATTAAAAACATTTAGCTCAAGGTATGAAGAAGCACCCCCCCCCCCCCGCCTTCATAGACATTTACTTGGCTGAAAAATGAAATATTTCTGAGAAGCCAAAAAGAAGAAGCAACAATGCGGAAGTTCAAGCCCAGCACGTGGGTGTCCACCCTTATTCTTCCTGCCCTGTCGTCTTCCGTATTCTTGTGCCTTCTCAGCTCCCTAGTGACACCAGACCTTCCCCCCATCCTCCCTTCACTGTTGGCAAGGGCCTTCTTCACACCCCGAGCCTCTCCCTGTGTAACTCTTCTCCTTAAATCCATCCCCCATGTGTGATAGTGGGCGCTTCCCCCAAAACAAGCCTGTCAGCCTGCTCCTTCCTAAAACACTGATGGATGTTCCCTGCAGCTTTCAGGAGGAAAGCCAAACTCCTTAGGTTAGTTTGCAAAACCCCACCTGTGACCAGTCCCTCCTGCTTGGCTGGCACGTCCTGCTTTACAAGGCTGTCTACTCAGCCTGGTGCTCTCTTTCAGGACTTTTTTGTTTGATCAGCCACTTGATACAGGGCTCTCCCCAAGATGGCTCCAGTCTCTTCCTCCTGACATGCCCCATTCATGGCACCAGTGACTGCTGCTCTCATGTGTGACTCAGCCTTGGAGGGCAGCATGGCATAGAGCAGGTGTCAGTGCTCATCTGTGCCATGGCCCAGGAGTAGAACACATTGGGCTGTCAGAGGAGTGCTGGCTTCTGAGCAGTCCTAGGAAAGGCTCCTCTTCACCCCAGTGTCTTGTTTCATATCTTGGCTTCTCTTGTTCTTTTTTGCTACTTGCTTGCTTTCACTCTTGACCTCCTCCTCCTCTTCCTCTTCCTCTTCTTCTCTCTCTCTCTCTCTCCACCCCTCTCTCTGTCTTACACACACACACATGCGCGCGCGCGCGCGCACACACACACACACACACACACACACACACAGATTTTGACATACTTGTCCAACTTTCCTGAATAGTCAGCAAGTGCTAAGTTTGCCATAAGTTTTATCCACCACTCTCAGGTGGGTGCAGTAAAGCTGAGCTCCACACATCCCAGGACTGTTTTGCAGGGTTCTGGTTTTTCTGGATCACCCAGGACTGGATAAGCAAGGATAAACAAGGACTTGTGGGAACCTAACTTGCACCATCATTTCTGATTTTGTTTGCTTGTTTGCTATGTCTGCTTGTAATTTTGTAGGTGGCAATGCTCTGACGTCAGTGTATTTTCTGTTACTTACCTTTCATCATAACACATGGGTTGATTAGGAAAAATTATATATGTATATATATATATATGTATATATAAATGGGCTTGCTCTGAGTGACCACAGTTGTGGAATTTATTATCATCTGTACTGATTCCTTTTGGGGAGTCTGTCTTAATGGAATTATTTCTTTTTTTGCAGACGAGACAGTCTCGATGGGGATATACCTGGTAATTTGTCATGCAAAATGCCCCCACGCAAGAGTAATCCTGGGAACATGGTACCAGATGAAAGCGCCCCTTTGGCATCTGCATGGGAGAAGGTGGACAAGCTTCACTTGCTGGATCCATGCACTGATGTGAAGAGGGCAGGAGAGAAGACCAGGCCCAAGTCTGGCCTGATTTTCCGAGGCATGATGGCTGGACCCATGGCCAGCTCCTCCCAGGTGGGGCTGTCTCTTCCTTGTTGAGAGACTGGGGAATGAGAACAGGGCTACAGCACAGCCTGGGGCTATAGGGTGGCCACAAGACAGCCCATGAAGGGGGAATCTCCGTGTAGGCATGGGAAGCGCACCTGCCTGTTTCTTCCTTGGCTCTCACATCACTGATGCCGGGGCCTTGGGCAAGCCTCATCTCCTTCCCTGTCCTAGTTTACCCTTTCTGTCAGTGAAGTGGAAGTCATGGCTTTCTATTCCTTTGCTGGGTGGAAACACATTCCAAGTTTTTCTTTGCAATTCAGAAGTAAGGAAACTATCCACATCTAGAGAACATCTTTCCTTTTTAAAAATTTGAAAGCATGATAGTTAGAAGAGAATAGAAACCTTAAGCTTTATGGTCTCACTTTTTTCTTTTTTTCTCTTTCAAGAAGAATTCTAAAAATTTAATATTGTTCTCTAGTCTTCTTTAAGGAGAGACCATGGTATGGTCTCATTAAGTGGAGAGATTAAACCAAGTGGAGAAAAGTGCAAAAGGAGTTCACAAAACAGCAGGAAAACGAAGCGAAATTAAACACGTGTGGTCACGGCTGCCACTGCACTCACACCGCACATCCTCTGGTGCCGCCCTGTTCTCCTAACTCATTTGGAATTAGGACAGAAAGAAGTGGATCCTCTCCCTGGCTCTGCCTCTGTCCTGTGGGGTCTTTGATCAAGGTTGTCATTTCTCTTGGCTTTGGTCTCTTGGGTTAGGTGATTGTCTAAGGCCCTCAGGTCCATGCTTTTGTGGTCTTGCATCTTTGTGTATAGATCAAGGGAGAGAGCAGCTGCTCCTTGTCACATAGTTCAGGCCACACCTTGATACCATGTCCTGTTCTAAGTGTCTCGTTGTTGAAGGATAATGAAGGACATGAAGGACAGTGAAGGACATTCATGAACCAGACCATGTCCAGAGGAAAGGTTGTGGGGAGGTGAAGAGTAGAGACAATTGTAAGATTTGGGGATGTTTAATCCTGTGAAGAGAAATCTTACTGGCAAAATGTAAGAGATCTCTTCAAACATGGAGGCAGGAAGAGCTTAGTCTCTGGATAGCCAGTGTGGCGTCCTGACTGCCTCTCTGATGCTGTGCCTGTAGCTCAGTGCTCTTTTTTTCTATCAGACCTGGGTGTGACTTTCAGAATCTCCTGGGTACCTCTAGTGGTTACTTCTGGTGGATGAACTGGAGTGGCCGATGGGGTACCCCTTTCGGCTTCCTTGGCCTTGGTTTGTAAGCTTCCTGAGAGCAGAGAGTGCATGCTGTTTGTGTGTAGCGCATGGTGTGAGCTTGCTGGTCTTGTTGGACTGAGTGGTGTAGACTTCCCCAGTGGCTCTAGAGAGCACAGCTGATCCCCATGTTGGAGTGAGTCACAGCCACTTCAACAGGACAGGTGGTTTGGGAAGGGATAAAACTAATGGTGTCAAGGGGAAGTGTCATCTGTTGGGGACATGGTAGAAGTAAGACTGTCTGATTGAGATACCACAGCAGCAGCTCTTGGGCTTTATACTCTCAGAATCTCTTCATACTCTTAATACAATCATTTATTTTTGGGGGGAGTTTTTTTCTGGTACCGGGAATTGAACTCATGACCTTGCGCTTGCCAGGTAGGCGTTGTGCTGCTGAGCTAAATCCCCAGTCCCCTTAATACAATTATTGAGGAGCCCAGAAGCTTTTATTTGTGTGGAGTGTGTCTGTTGACATTTCCTGTATTGGAAATTAAAACTGAAAAACTAAAAAATATTTACTTATTAAGCCATCAAAATAACAGCAGTAAACTCATTACACTTAACACAACCTATTTTAATAAAAAGCCCTATATTTTCCAAACCAAGAAAAAAAATCAGTGAGATGAGTAGCATTGTTTAACATTTGTTTTTCAAATCTCTTCATTATCTGGCTTAGATGAAATCAGTTCAAGTCTCATTTTTGTTTCAGAATTTGGTCTGTTGCAATATGGTAGTTTGATTGAAGTGTATGAAGAAAATGTGGCCTCAGATAAGAATTTGGAAATGTACTTTTAAAATATTAAAAAGTACCTTAACACAGCCTTTTCAGAAAACCAGGGGAACTTTTCTTTGATACCACCCTAAAATTAGACAAACTAGTTACTTAATGTAGAATCTTAAACCTTATCAACGAACATTTTATACTTTATCAATTTCTACTGACCTCTCTTACACTTTGAGTCTTTTATTCCTGCATAATTTTGTAACATGATGTCTTGGTCATTTGGAATATATTGTTTACTGAGTTACACAGATGATCCAAGTATGAATACATTTCATTTTCCAAAAAAACTTCTCATTTGTTGATGTTATTGCCCAACTTAGAAAAGTTATTAAGTACTGCAAAGCTGTCAGGCTCACAGTGGTGGATATGAATTTTCTAAAATTCTAATTTTCACACAGCAGCTTGTATTTTATCACTAAAAACAATGCAGCCTTTGTTTGCCTTTATATGACAGACTCAATTTATTTCTAAGAAAGTCATGCTGGAAGCCCAAGTCTGAATCACCATGGTTTGTCTCTCAGTGGTTTCCATGAAAATAACAGCAAGTTCGCTCAGAATTTAGACAGTTGCCCAAACACTTACACCATCCTTCCCACTCAGCAGATGTTGGGCCTAGATTGAATAGAGTTAATAATTCTTACGCTTCAGCATGGACATTCTTAAGTGAAATAGATATTTTATGTATTCATTTTTTTTTTGCCAGTTTATAGCAGTGAAAAATACCTCAAGCTCTGGTAAAGTTTGGTGCCTGTATTAGTTACCTTTCTTGTTGCTAAGACAAAATACCTGACACCCAAAGTTAAAGGAAGAAAGGTTTATTGTAGTTCACAGTTTGCAGAAGTTTCAGTTCATAGTTGCCTGGCTCCAAGGCAGGGTGGCATGGCAGAGGGGCACTGCAGAGGAGAAACAGTTCATGGTAGGCAGAAGACAGAAGGCAGCGAGGCAGTAAGCAGTAGGCTAAAGTGACAAGCAGTAACCCTCTTTCTGTATCTTATATCCTATCCAGGCTACCCACCCTTAGGGCAGATAGCACTCACACCCAGAGTAGGGAAGCCTTAATTCTAGCATCAAACCATGAATCAATCCCAGCATCACATCCTTGATTTCAGCATCACACGCCCTAGATCGAGCCACCTCTGAAAAACCCCATGTATGACCACATGAGGCTTTCAGGGGACATCTAGATACAAGCTATAAGAGTGTCACTGCCTTGTTTCACATTCAGAGCCAATAGTTTCTCCCACTATTGCTTTACACACAAACATGAAAAAGGGAAATCGTGTTATATTATTACAGACTCAATTGAGTCAGGTTTTTCTGTTGCTATAACAAAATATCTAATTCTGGGTAATGTATAAAAAGAGGATTTTTTTGCTCATTTGAAGGCTGAAAGTCTCAGATTGGAGGCCTCATCTGCTTGGTCTCTGGTGAAGGCCTTCTGGCTATTTCACAACATGATGGCATCATGGTCAGAGGACATGTAGGAGGGTCAGGCTGTGTGAACAGAAGAGGGACCCGGGGGGTGCCAAATTCCCTTATAACAACCAATTCTTGTGGGAACTAACCTAGTCCTGTGTGATCTGCACTGATCCTTTTCATGGATGGTGCCTCCATAACGAATGTACTTTCTGTTAAGCCCCATCTCTTGATGGCCTTTAACACTGCCACACTGGCAACCAAGCTCCAGCATGTGCACCTTTGATGGATACACTCAGATCATACCTGAACCATAGCAATGACTGTGAAAATAGTTTTTAGTTCTTTATGCATCCAGGAACCCCAAGAGTTGTTGGACCACACTTTGAGAATCAGTGCATCAGATGAACACCAGGGTCCTGTCTTACCATGATATTCTAACCAGTGTGTGCAGTTGAGACTGCCTTCGTAATTGTGGCATGAGGAGATGATGTGGTCCTATCTTACTGCTAAAGGTGTTGCTGCAAACTTCTCCTTTTGGTAATTGTTTGGGGAGCTGAGGTTTCCCCCTGTGGCATCTGAATTCTGTGAAGGACACTGAAGGGTAGGTTTCTGTAGAACTTCCCTAGGTTTTCTGGAAGGTCTTTTGTGCTTTGGCCATATCTATTGGTTGCTCAAGAGAAAGGAGCCAAAATTTGTAAGATTCATCAGTTTTTACCACTAGATCAGCTCTGTACTTAATGATGATGTCTGAGGTAAGAGGCAGTGCTCCTTTATGCAAGAAATTTGCGTCTTCTTGGGAATGGTGACTAATGTCTTCCTTGCTCTGGGCAGGGGATGCCCTTGGCAGCTTTTGGAGCAGGTTCACCATGCCTAGTAATTTCCACTAGGCAAGAACACTATAAAATTAGCTGTCCTTATTCCACCCTAGGCCTCCATTTGGCCCTGACTTATTTCTGGAAAAGCTGAATGGTCCTGAAATTAAAACCATGGAGAAGCTCAGTAGGTTTATTTTTGTCCCTCTACTTTCCCCTGCCTGCCGTTGAGTAGTAACAGGAGTTCCAATTTCCTCAAATAGTCATTGATTGAAATAGAGCATTCCAGTTGGCTCCTTTGGAATTCTTTCATCTCAAAAACTCAACAGATCTTGAGTACTTATGAAGCATAGGCCGCTGACCTGGGTGGGAGCACTGTGGGTGCCAGAGATGAGTGAAGAATGGCTCCTGCCATTCCCTGGCTACCGTGGGTGGGGTGGGGCCATACGGAAATGAAAATGAGGTAAGTAAGCGGAAGCAGGGACTATTTTTGAGTGCTGCAATGCCTTGTTTATCCTCACTGGGAACTTGTGGGAAGTAGGTACTACAGACTCCTCGTACCCTTTTGGGCCAGATGTGTTTTGGAAGTACTTTAGTATATAAGTAGAGTGCATAAAGCACATAATGCATGTAGCAGGGTTTGTAGTAACCTCCAGTAAGCAAAGACCTAGACATAAGGATGTTTGTATTATTGAAGACTGGAAGCAACCTCACCACAGTTGAAAAGGATTTGCCACAGAAGTTCAAAAGGAACTTTCTTTTTCCCAGGATTTGGGGTTTAGAAATGGCAGGTAGTGGATTATGACAGGTCCCATTACCAGGTGAGGACATGAGGGACAGAGAAAGTAGATACCTTCCACAGATGACCCAGCCGGTTGGGGAGGCAGGACTCAGAAACTGGAGCAGTACTTCCTCTGCCATCTGCATCTGATCTGGGGAGGGTCTTGAGAAGCTGTGGGTGCTCTGGGGTTTGTGTGTGTGGGTGCACATTAGCCAGAGCACTGCAGTGGCAGAAGCATTTGAATGACTCCCCACAGAATAGGTAGAATTTTAAGGGAAAGCGTTAGGGATGGGAACAGACGTTCTTGAGGAGGGGCCACCATGGACCAGTGTATAATATATTTCCCCAGCTTTCCCAGAGAGGGATCCACATAATTTCTGTGCTGCTCCCCACAGGGTTCTTTCCGCAAACGCTCTCTAAGACGGTCTCTGGCCTCAAGCAGCAAGACTCAACCCCAGGAGGAGGAGAGCCCCATGGTGCCTGACCTCTCAGGTGGCACCCCAGCCCACCTAGCCCCACAGGAGATCCCTGCTTCCAACAATGGCTCCATCTCCAGAAGCCCCCTGGGCCAGCTTAGTGAACCATCCAAGGAAAAGCAGAAAACCACCCCCAGCAGCCCTTCTCACCTGCCCAGCAAAGGACTGACCCCACGTGACAGAGTGCTGCCTAGAAGTCTGTCAGAGAATGAGCCAGCAGTAGATGGCCACACAGAGGTGGAGAGGACAACCTCAAAGTTGTACTTGCCCAGTGGGAACCCCAGGGTGACCCAGGAGAGGCTGGAAAAAGCTGTCAACCGTCAGGGCAGCCAGCCCTCACCTCTCAGGTAAGCATGCTAAGATCATGGCTTCTTACAGAGAAGCACCACCTTGCACATGTGTGCAGGCCCTAATGGCTCCTTGGTCTCTCACAGCAAGCCTATGGAGCAGGGATGACTAGGGTCAACCAGGAAGAGAATGGAGCCCTGAGGTCACACATCCCTGAAGCTGCAGGGAACCTTCCTAGGTCCCACTCACTTCTTTCCACAACTGAGGAAGGTGTTAGCAGATGATTCCAAAATATATCTGCAGCCACACGGGCTGGCTGGCATGGTAACACATGTTTCCTGTGTTTCTAGATACCGTGGTGAGTCAGCTCTGACAGAGATCCTTTCGGCATCATTTTCACTTCTTTTGCCCTATTCTTACCTTTATTCTTTCACAAGAGATCTGGATGCTGATTGATTTTTGAATATAAAATCAACCTTATACTTTGGAATAAACCCCACTTGGCTATGATATCTTATCTTTTACATATCATTGGATTTATTAACATTTTGTGTAGGAATTTTGTGCATAAGTCCACAGACTGGCTGGCAAATTTTCTATCGTGCACCACCCTTGTCAGGTTCTGCCCCATATGATACAAATCAGTGTAAGATTGGTCCTGCTGCTTCCTTAAACACTGAGTTTAAAGGAGAAGACTTCTGAGAGGTTTTAAACTATGCATTCAATTAAAAATTGTTTAAATTTAAATTTTCTATTCTTGTGTCTGTTTGGGCAAATTATATTTTTTTCAAGGAATTTGATGCTTTTTGTCTACATTTTAAATTTATGGATATAAAATTACATAACTACCAAGTCCTCATCACTTTCAAGTTTGTGAGATTTACCGTGGTATCTGTTTTATTACTGTCATCTTGCCAGGAATTTATCAATTGTGTAGTATTTTTAAAGAATTACTTTTTGGCTTTATATGTTTGTTTCCTATTGCATCAATTTTGATTCCATTATTTCCCTTTACTTTCTTTAGTTCAATGTGCTATTATTCTCTAGTTTACTAATATAGATCTTTAATAACAGATTCTCAACCTTCTTCTGTAATATCTTTTAAGTCTACAAATTTCCCTCTAAATAACACTTGCTGTGTATTCTACAAGTTAATATGTTATATATTCATAGAATTTAGTTAAAATCTTTTATCATTCCTATTATGATTTTTTTTTGACCTGTGGATTATTTAGATATATATTAATTGAAAGTATTTGTGGGTATTTTCCTGGTTACCATTTTTGATTTCTAGCTTATTTCTATTCTGGTTATACTAAGTGTGATCTAAAACTATGGTGAATGTTTAAATAAAAAATTGTTACAATAAAATACATTTCCATGAATCCCCCTCAGAATACTCCCTCTTGCTTTGAACTCCCTTATCCCATTGTTCTTACCACTTTGTGAGGCAGTTCTGGAAGTCCTCCTTTCTGAGTGTTATTAGTTGTGGCGTCATGGCTGCCTCAATGTCCTGAATCTATTCAAAACATTTACCTTTCCCAGTCAGTTTGACTTGGGAGAACAGCCAAAAGTCATATGGTGCCAGGCCCAGTGAATAAGGTCGAAGAGGACACTCCTTAATGTTTCTGTGAGCCTGCTTTTCCATTGGATGACTATAGACAGTAGTAGTCACCTTATTTTTTTATCATGACTCATAAAAATGAGAAAGAAGACTTCTAAACTGCTTCAGAAAGTGGCAAGAACAATGGGATAAGTGTATTTGAAGTGAAGGAAGTACTTTGATTGATGGTAATGTGTCTTTTACTGTAATACATTAAGAAATTTAAACATTCATTGTCTATTTTAATCACTGTGTGTGTGTGTGTGTGTGTGTGTGTGTATACTCTTTTTCTTTTCTTGAGATGGGGTCTTACCAGGGTATGTTGCCCAAGCTGGTCTCGGACTCCTGAGGTCTGTCACCCTCCTGTAACAGGCAAGTGCCCCTGTGCCTGCCTTGTACTCTTTACCATATCACTTTGCTGAACTGAAGAGCCTTATGGTGTGGTCTATATTTACATCTTATGAACAGTACGTATTTTAATTTTTAATCCATTGCAATAATTTGTTATTCTACTGGGTTAATCATTACATTTATAAAGAACTGTCTATTTTTTTTTTCTTTTTAAGCAGGTGCATTAATTTTTTAACGAGTTTTTGTTTGGAAATGCCTCCATTTCACCTCTATTTTTGACGGTAATTTTCATGAGTGGAGAATTATTGATGGGTGGTTTATTGGTTTAACCTTTCAGACATGTCATTAGGATTTAGGGCTTCATTATGGCTGTTTATAAGCCAGTCCATAGTTTTATTTTTGCTCTTTTAAAGGCAGTGTGTATATTTTCTTAAGCCTCTACATGCTCCCTCACTCCAGTTTTTTAAAAGATTTTCTTGCTTTCTTTGATTTCCAGTGGTTTGATTATGAAGTGCCTATGTGTAGTTTTCCTTGATGGTTCTGCTTGGAGTGCATACAGCTTCTTGAAGTCATGGGCTTTAAAAAGCTATTGTCCATTATCTTTTTAAATGTTGCTTTTGTTCTATTTTTATCTTTTTATTTTCTGGCACTCTAGTTACATATGTAATACGTCTTTGCACTCTATTTGAATTCTGTAGTTTTAAAATATTCTTTCTCATTTTTCTCTCTACACTTCATTTGGATATTTTCTCTCATCTATTTCCCATTGCATGTTTCTTCTCTTCTGTTATGCCTGTTGTGCTGCTAAGCTGATTTAATGAATTCTTAATTTCAATTATTTAATTTTCTGTTATAGAATTTTAATTTTAACAAATAGATTTCAGTTCTTTTTGTAATTCTCCTTCTTTACCTTTATTTTCTTGTGCATATTATTCACTATCACTGTAAAGTCTCCATCTAGTAACTCCAGTGTCTGGATCACTGAGGGTCTGCTCTTGTCTGTTTTTATTTTTAGTTTTGATCATTTGGTCCTGTTGCTTTGCATTCCTGGTCATTTTAACTGAAACCAGACATTATGTATGGATAATTGCATAGGCTTTTGTTAATGTTGCCTCCCTGAAGAGAGAATTTAATTTCCTTCCAGTAGATATTGATTTCCTGTTAGTTTTAGACTTTGTAAAATATCCTTTCTCATTCTGTTATTTGTCTAACAACTTTCATATGTTTTTGTTGAACATAAACTCTTTTTTTTTTTTTTTTGAACATAAACTCTTCATTTTGTCATAATCAATCTCTCTTTTGGCATACGATTTAAAATTTAAAAAAATTTAAAGTTTTCTTTATTATGTTTTTCCTTGATCTCAGTTTTTAATGACATTTTCCTCTTTTTTTCTAGTAACTTTATATTCCTACCTTTCACATTTATGCATTTAATCTTTTGTGTCTGTTGGTGTGTGTGTGTGTGTGTGTGTGTATGTTATTGGTCTCCATTCATAGTCACTTAGCAAACTGGAAAACAAACGTCTTTCCCTACAAGATACAGCCTAATTTCTGGAACCTATAAATATTGCCTTATATGGTGCAAAAGGGTATTTGTGAATATGATTCATTAATTTAAAGATCTGGAAATGAGAAAAAAATTATTTTGAGACAGGGTGCTGTTAAGTCACTAAGTTGGCCAGGCTGGTCTCCCACCTCAAGACCAGCTGATTAGCAAGCTGGATTCCATCTGTACCTTAATTCCCCTGTTGTAAAACCTAACGTATTCAGGGCATCTGGGGTTAGCATTAGGACATATTTAAGGGATGGGTGGGAGGTTATTATTCTGCTGACTACAGAGGGCAACTGTTTCCTTTTCATTATTTATTTTTCTTATTAGGTTTATTGGCTATGTATATATAGTCATCATAGGGAATTTGTACCTGTACATGATATGTCACAGTTCTTCTTTGTTCCCCATTCCCTTCCACTCCAACCTCTCTTCCCCTCCTCATTTACAAAGCTTTGTTTCCATTTTATTTTTTTCTCATGTTTTTCTCTCTCTGCAGTTCCTCTTCCCTTGTGAACAATTACTTCCTATTTCACAATATCTATGATACATTTTGGTTCTTATTTACACTTTCAGTTTCTCATGCCAGAGAAACAATGTGATATTTACACATCTGTGTCCAGTTTATTTCACTTAAGAGAATGGTCTCAAGATCCATTCATTTAGCTATAAATTTTCAAGTTTATCCTTCTTTACAGCTGAGTAGTACTCCATTGTATAATGAAAAACACATCTTTTTATCCATTCATTGGTTGATGGGCATTTGGATTGTTTCCAAGATTTAGCTGTTGCAAACTGTGCTGCTACAAACATGGGTGTGCATATATCGACGACATTGTATGATGTTTTTAATTCTTTTGGGAAGATATCAAGCAGGGGAATAGCTGGGTCAATTGGAACCTCTAGTCCTAGTTTTTTGAGGAATCTGATTAGGCCAGGAAACAGGGGTATCTGGCTACAGGGCCTGCCATGGCAGGCCCATGAGTATTTATGGATGGTGTAACCAACCTGGTTACACCAGTCTATACTCCCATCAACAGTGGACAAGGGTTCCCTTTTCTCCACAGCCCCATCAGCATTTGTTAGTGGTTGACTTCTTGATAATAGCCATTCTTTCTGGAGTGACAAGGAATCTCAGCATTATTTTAATTTGCATCTCTCAAATGATCAGTGATGTTGCACATTTTTCATGTATTTATTTGCCATTTATACTTCTTCTAAGAAGTGTCTATTCATTTAAATGCCCATTTTTTTGATTGGGCCTTTAAATTTGGGGAATCTACTTTTTTCCCAATTCTGTATAAATCTGCTGGGAGAGAGAACAGGTAGAACTCCTGAAGACAGGCGTCAGCAAAGACTTCACGAACAGAACCCCAACTGCATGAGCAATACTACATAGAACAACTGGGATTTCATCTTATTAAAAGCTGAGATTTCATCTTATTAAAAAGCTTTTGCACAACAAAAGAAATCACCAACAGAGTGAAAAGATAACCCACAGAGTGGGGAAAAAAAAATCTTTGCTAGTTGTTCTTCAGGCAGCATTAAAATTTCTT